CCAGGCCATTTGGCTGGAGTGGGGGTCCGCCGAGTTCTTCGCTTCCGCCAGCGCTCGCAGTGACAGCCGGCGGCTCCGTGGCAGGGCCGGTTGGACTCCGTCCAGGGGCGGGTGCCGTGGACCCGCCGCTAGCCCGCCAGCCGCCTGTGCAGGGTGCATGCTCCTACTTTTGGGTGGCCTGCCTGGCGGGGGATGCCTGGCGCGCAGGGGTCGCTGAGACAGCCCGCTGCGTGGCTGGGGCCGTGGACCCCCCGGGGGGGAGACTACCGTGTCTGCGGGCGGGAGCTGTGCCCTGGCTGCTAGCCGCCTGCGCCAGGTGCGCTGTCCTGCCCTGGGCTGCCTGACTGGCAGGGGCTGCCCCCTGCCGTGTCCGGGGCAAGGACTTGCTCGTCTAGCGGCGACACGAGCGCTGGTGGAACTGTTGGGCGGCGGCAGTGTGCCAGAAGATGGGGCGCGAGGTCGAGGATTCCTTGGCCTGCCAGGAGGGCCATCAGGACCTGCTCGTCGTACCTGGTCGGGTCGGTGCCACGGAGGGCCGCTCTGGACCCCAGGGAGGTCTGCCATGGGTCAGCCAAGCGGTCCAGCCAGGCTGCCCCTTTTCCTACCCGTGGCATTGGAGAGCCATTCGACTACGTGTGCCAGGGCCGCACGGCTGCCGTTCCATGGGTGCGCGACAAGGACACCCCTCAGGAATCGTGCCGCTGTAGGCACGCATCAGGAACTTGGTGCATATGCCGTGGTCCCAGCACCGAGCGTCAAGCCCTTGGCCGACGTGTTCTGGGGCCTCCTCGCGTTCTGTTCGACGAAGTCGTGCCGATGCCCTGGTGCAGCCGCGTGGCCCCATCCTCCCTGCTGGGCCTGCGGCGGAGCGGGTCGACCAGGGAGGCCAGGGCAGGCGCTGCCAGGGCTCGTCGGGGCCAGTGCGCCCAGGTCGGTCATCACTCGAGGCGCCAGGGCCACGCGCGTGTCGCCAGGGAGCGCCAGCCCGCGGTGCGCTGGCCAGGCGGCGCCGGCTTGGAGGAGCTGGCGCTGCTGGAAGTAGTCGGCCCCCACACGTTCTGGGCGAAGTCCATGAAGAGGTCCTCGGTCAGTCGGGCGGGAAGCTTGGCGACGCCCACCGGAAGGCTGGGAGAGTAACTACGCGTCCCCCCGGCAGCCTGCTGGCCGCCGGCTGGCCAAATTGTCCAGGCCACAGGGTGCGCGAAAACGAACTGCCGACTTGTGCTCCAGACGCCGCGATCCAGGTGGCCAGCGTCCAGGACCTCCCCGTCGTCCCACCGGGAAAGCAGGAACCGACGTAGGAGCGGTCCTGGCAGGGCAACAGGCGGCATGCTGTCACAATCCAGGTGCCTGCTGCAGAAGCTGACCCAGTGCAGGTTGGTGGCTGGGCAGTAGACCCAGACATGCGCCGTCCTGATTTTTTCAGGACGGCGTCCCTGGAAGTCCCGACCCTCTCCCCGGGACGGGCTTTTCGTCCTGAGTCGTTGTTTGACGGTCCCGAGGCCCGGCGAGGGCCCCCCGAGACCGAAAAGAGCCAAAGCCCTCCCGCCCTGACTTTTTTACGACGCGACCATGTCTGGGTCAGGTGGTCGGCCTGCAGGTTTCCCAGGGTCCTGGCGGGGAGTGTCGGCAGTGGTGGTGGCGGGCAGCTGGCCGGGAGCGTGGGCTTCCAGGACGAGGGTGCCGTCACCGGCTGGGCGCGGCGGCGTCTGATGGCCCTGCGCTCGGCCGCGCAGGGGGGCGCGGGGTCTGTCTCGATCGCCCGCCCTGCCGGAGCGGTCGCCGGCTGGATTAGCCAAGGGCGCCCTCGAGGGCGCGAAGTTATTCGCGCTTCGCGGTTCGGCTCCGATTCCTCCTCATCCTCCTCTTCTCCTGTGGGAGGCGGCGCGAGAGCGCGACGTTCTTCGCACTGCGCGCTTCGCGCGGCGCGAGAGCGCGACGTTGGGAGCCCTCAATGCGCCGGGGTCGAGGCGCCCGAGGACTGTGCAGGGGCGAGCGCGGGGCACCAGCCCGTCGTGGGAGGGTCGCCCAGTGCTGCTCTCTCCGCGCGGCCTCCACGGCAGCTCTGGCCCCGTCCGCTCGGTGGGGGAGGGGCGCAGCCCGCTGCATGTACGTCCGCGGCGGCCAGGAGGCCGCGCACCGCATCTCGCAGTCGCCAGTGCTGTGGAAGGCCCCCCCATGGGGTCGTCTGCGATCCCAGACCCCCTCGAGCAATAACACATTCACGACGGGAGGGTTTTCGTCATGTTCGGCCTCCGGGGGCCCTCGCCGGGCCTCGGGACCGTCAGAACATGACGCAGGATGAGGAGCCGGTCCCGGGGAAGGGGTCGAGACCTCTGGGGACGCCGTCCTGGAAAAATCAGGACGTCGGGGGTCGGGGATCCTGGTCGCCTGCTCAGCCATGCGGACGTCGAGGTCGCCGGCCAGGTCCTGGATGCCGTGGGTCGCCGGGGCTGCCCCAGCGTTAAAGTGGGTTTGCGGGTTTGCGGTCTGGTGCCGCGGGGGCTTGCTGCGTGCCGCCGGCCTCTCGGGATAGGAGACCAGGACCCCGTCCCGCGTCCGGATGGTGCGGGCGTCGGGAGGCCGCGCGTCCCAGGTCTTGGTCTGGCAGTCCGCGCAGCACCGCTTGGCGTTCCAGGCCTTGGTTCGGAAAGCGAGTGTCCCTGCCGGGTAATACAGTCGGGGCCCTGAAGAAGGAACCCTTTTCGTTGGGGAGGGGCTCCGCGTTCCTTAAGTGTTTCGCAGCTTGCCTCAGGTTTTCCTTGTGTTTTCGATCGGAAATCGAAGTTTCACTTATGGAAAAAAGGGGCATCGTTCCTTATTTTGGGTTCCTTAAGTAGGTCAAGGCCCCGACTGTAGGGGAGGCCGCGCACCTGGGCGTGGCCCGTACCGTCCTCCCAGGCTGGCCTGAAGACGAACTATGACCCAGCTGGGGAGGCCCAGGTTTCCAAAGCCAGGGTGTGCTCCGCCATGAGGCACACATCGCACTTTTCTTCGTACCCCTTGTGGCCCACCTGCGCGCCCAGGCGGTCCTCGACTCTGCGCTTGCGGGGGGTGGTCGTGCCAACCGTGGTTGGGCTGTTAGGCCGGGTCTGCGGTAGCAGCAGGTGCTGCAGGCGAGTGGCGTCAGTCAGTTTGTGAATTGGGCACTCTGCAGGCAGGGGCCGTCTCGCATGTTGGCCCGGTTTCGGTGGCTGGCTGGGGCCTTGGGCCCGCACGATGGCTGGGAGCTTGACGTCGTCTGGGATCGGCTTGCCATCCACGTATTCGGCCCGCCAGCACCCGCTGCAATGCCAGCGGCAGCACAAGCCGCGCCTGTAGGCAGCCTTGCGGTTGGTCGCAAGGACCTGTCGGATCTCAGGATCAATTACTCCAGGCGCCCCCGCTTGCGTCGAAGTCCCCTCTGTCGCACTCGTCGCACCAGATCCTGGAGTTGGCCTGTGCTAGGTCGAACCTGGTGTCTTCCCCGCGCAGGGCTGCTGGGTTAGGGGGCCGCATGCGAGCCCTACCCCTACCCCCTACGATTTCTGAGGGGGAGGGGGGGGTCACTTCGCTTGGGAGCTCCCGACCCTCACCCTTAGAAATCGTAGGGGGTAGGGGTAGGGTTCGCATGTGGCCCCCTATGGGTCCAGAAGGACACCGGGCCGCGGTCCCGGGGGGGGGCTGCGAAGAGGTCGCGCCCTGAGCTAGCCACACCTCCTCCCACTTGTGGTAGCTCCGTGGCCAGGCGGCGATTGGCCTGCTCTGCCAGGCCGACCTCGACCATCAATCACATCGAGACACACGTCGTACTGTATACTGAAGAGCGGAATGGCATGCAACTGGTTGGATACGATATTGCCCATCGAAGCGCAGTCGGATCCCGTGTCGACATGCACAAGCACTGGCAATCGAAATTCAGTTCGAAAAATAAATCTGCGTGCGCGTCAAATCTACTCTGAAGCGCAGATCACCATGCGCATCCACTCGCACACTGGCGAAAGAAGTCAACTGCGTATCGAAATGAAGTCGACATGTAGCGAGGCCGGTTGATAGTGTGAACGATGGTTTATGAAAGCGAGAGGCCGGCTATACGTATGCATGTGTGTATACATATACATGTATGACTCTTCATGCTTATATATATATATGTGTATGTCGATGCTGGGAGCAATGAAGTAAGTTGCGCGAGCGGTCGGTAGTGATAGTTTTAGACGGATGGAGAGCCTGATAACAGGGGGCATCTTACACATAGGTATACAGCGCGGTGAGTAGTAATGAGAGCGGTCTGTAGTGTTACACACATGCAGTTTCCATGTATATATACTTATATATATGAGCATGTCGATATATTCATACATGCTAATCGCACGCCGACAGTTGCGTCTTTCCCCCCCACTTCCCCTTATCATCCGAAGGGTGGTCTATGAGGCACAGATTGAGTCTGCAATCTTTGTTGTACTGATTTTTGTTGGTATTGGTCGTCTTTCTAGTGCCATCGCAGGACTAGCGATCTGGAGGGACTCCGTGGCGTCGGGACAGCCGTGGGACTTCGCGCACGCCCGATCGCCAGTTGAGCAGTGCAAATAGAACCGGTCCAACTGCCCCGGCACAGCTGCGTAAGATGTTCGCGTAACTGTTTGCATAAGCTCCTGCGTGAGCTCTCGCATAAGTGGATATTTTTGTTCAAATAGCAGAAGAATCCTCCGCGCAGCTCGTCCTTCGCCCCAGCTAGCTGTTCGATTAGCAGAAATATCCATCTCCTGCCGTGCATCCTCTTGTTCTGCCTGCGCGAGCAGCTGTGTAGGCACTTCGCGTACGACACGAACACGAAACACGATTTCTCGGTGGAGATGATTTGGAAGACACTTTCGCACGTTGACGCCTCCAGTGGTCAACAGGCTTTGGGGAGTACGCCGTGTCAGCGCGCGCGATGCTGGAATTATCAGATTTATTCTCGAGGCGGTTCTGTCGAGGGGGTCAGCGCTGCAGGAGGGGCGGGGCAGCACGAGTCCGTCAAGGATGGCGATGGTGGCGGGGCATCCCCGAGTCTTGAGCGGACCGGCGTCATAGGCGGGGCAGGGTGTGCAAAGCTCCGCACTGATCGCATGTCTCCCCATCGTCGTCCATCTGCGTGAGGGCACGACGACGGTGGGAACGAGAGGAGTCGTCGTCGTCGTCGTCGTCGTCGTCGTCGTCGTCGTCGACGTGAGCGCCAGTGGATGCATGCGGAGGCCCCTCTAACCGAGAAGGGGGGCGGTCGCACCCCCTCCCCCCTTTGACGGGGTCTGTTTTCGGACCTCCTCCTCCTTCTCCTCCTCCTCCTCCTCCTCCTCCTCCTCCTCACTCCTCTTCCTCCTCCTCCTCCTCCTCCTCCTTCTCCTCACTCCTCCTCCTCCTCCTCCTCCTCCTCCTCCTCCTCCTCCTCCTCCTCCTCCCCTCCCGCCCTTTCCGTTCAAGCGGCGAAGCGAAGGTGTGCGGCGCTCAGGCGACAGCCACATTTGAACGCGGCTCCTCCATGCGTGAAGCTTCTGTAAGCTTTCGAGACGAATGCGCGCGGTGCCAAGATTGTGGAACCGACCCCCCCCCCTACCCTCCGTGTGGGTGTCGCAAACTTGTAAGACGAAGGCGCGCGGCGCTCAGCCGAGAGCCACCTTTTTGAAATGGGGCCGCCCTTCGTCCGTGAAGTTGCTGCAAACTGTCCAGGGGTGTGCGCGGCGCTTAAGCGAGAACTACATTTCGGAATCTACCGCCCTACACCAATGAGGCTTATCCCATGAGCAAGAGGGGGTGGCGGAGGAGGAGGAATAATAATAGCGAGAGGGGTGAAATTAATGACGGGAGGAACCGTGCAGCGAAGGGGATGAGAAGGGGGACAGGAAAGAGTGGCAGGAGGATCGCAACAGCAAGGAAAAACGGACGTGAGGACCAGGAAAAAGAGACGGGGGACACAATATTAGGAGAAACGCGGGGAGGGCGGATGACGAGGAAGAGGGAGAAGGAGGGAGCAGGAGGGGGAGTGAGGAGGAGGAGGAACGGAGGGAGGGGGGGAGGCATTGGAGGTGGATGAGGGAGGGGGGCGGGGGGGGGAGGGGAACGACGAGGAGGACAACGTCGAGGAAGATATGCAGAAAGAGCTTGAACGCCTCGCAGCACGGACAGATCAGCGTTCCTGGCAGGCGGCACGGGACAGGGGCTCTGGTCCTTCGGCTTGCACGCGTACGAGGGCACCAAGGCAGTGCTGACGAGGCCCTTCCGTTCCGTTGCCATGTGATTCTTTGCCAGTGGCGGTGCGGATGAGGACCGAGGACGCGGACAGCAGCCATTGATTTAGTCGATGGTGACTGCGATGATGATGGCGATGATGATCATACTGATGATGGTGATGATGCTGATGATGAGGCGTGTGACGATGATGGGGATGATGCTAATGCCGTTGATGAGGACGGGGGAACTGATGATTAGGATTAGGATGGGCATGCCGATTGTGATAATGATGATGAATAGGAAGAAGCTTGTGACGATGATACTGATGATGGTGATGATGAGGAAAAGGGGAAGCTGCGGATGGTAATGACGATGATGTTGATGATCATGATATTGATGGTGACGATGATGATGAGGATGATGGTGGTGGTGGTGATGACGGTTGCGATGATGATGATGCTGATGATGATGATGATGATGATGATGATGATGGCGAGGACGATGATGATGACGTTGGCGATCATGAGGATGAGGATGAGGATGGTGGTAGGATGATGTTGATGATGCTGCTGATGCTGATGATGACTGTGGTAGTGGTGGCGGCGTTGGTGTTGATGATTGATGATGATATCTGGGAGGCATTGATGGATGATGGCGGTGATGGTGATGCTGATGTTAATGAGGGGGTGATGACGGTGATACTGGCGATGCTGGTGGTGCTATTGTTGTCGACGGTGTTGTTGTTGCTGATGTTGGTGTTGCTCCTGCTGCTGCTCTTGTTTCAGGTGTTGAATTCTTATGTCTAAAGAATAAGTATTGTTGCCTCCCCTCCCGCAACCATTGTATTTGTTTTCTCACAAGGGAAAGCGAGGTGTGACCAAACCATGCCCCTGGTCCTCGGCTTACAACAGCAGCAACAACGGCTCCCGCCTTTACTTCCTCGCAATGTATTCCCAAATCGAGCTCTCGCGCGGGATTTCCTCACACGGTGTACAGGATCCGCTCTCTCGCATGGGAACTCCCCGCAATTTATTCAGACGCAGAGCCCTCGACACTCAGGAATCCCGCTCTCGCTGTGGATTTCTTCACGATGTATTTGGGAATCGCGCTATCGCTCGAGACCTCCTCGCTTGTTTCTTGCAGGACTCACGCTTCAGCCTGCCTCTTGTCCCTTCCTTCCATCCGGGTTCTCTTCCCCTGTCTCGGGGGTTGCACGAAATACACGTTGCAGGAAAGAAAGATATGCCCATAATGGGGGTACGATCGAAGACGAAGAAGGCGGTGATCGAGGGTTTGGGATATACGTGTTTAATAGCACGCGAGCAGATAAGAGCGACCATTATTAAATTGATGGTTGCTGTCGTGGTTGTAGTTGTTGTTGTTGTTGTTGCGATACCCGTACTTGTTGGTGATGTTTCTTGTCTAGTGACCACTCCGTGTTTCAGCTAAGGGTTTTCCCTGGTGCGCATTGTGCGTCCACAACGGAAAATCGGAATCATTAATCTGCAATTTTGGGCCCCGAACTACAAGAACGGTTCCCGACTGATACTTCTTCACAAATTATTTGAGAATCGCGTTTTCGCGCGGGACATCCTCACAATCCATTCAGGATTCGCGCTCTCGCGCGGGACTTCCTCGCAATTTATTCAAAAGCCGCGCCCTCGACTCTCAGGAAGCGCGCTCTCGCTGTGGTTTTTCATGAGATTCACTTGGGAATCGCGCTATCGCTCGAGACTCCTGGCGATTCATGCATGGTTCACGCTTCAGCAACCCGCCCGCTCGACCTGGCCGCTTGGGCCCGCCTTCCCGACTCGCCCGCTAGGGTCTGCCACCCCGATCTGCCCGTTTGGTTCTACCACGTGTTTTCTGCTCCTAGCCCCCCCCCCCTGCCAATCACGTGCTACATCGTTCCCCCTGGCCATTCCAACCGTCCTCTCTTCCCTTGGTTTAGGGGCAGCGCCAATTACGCGCGGCAGGTTGGGAAGGTATGTCCCCAGGGGGACACGATCGAAGACGAAGAGGGTGGGCATCGAGGTTTTGGGGTATACGTGTTGGACGGCACGCGAACAGATAGGGGCGAATTGTCTTAACATGATTGTTGTCGTCGTTGATGACGCTGTTGTTGTCGTCATTGCTGCTGTGGTTGGTCATGTTGTTTTTGCGTTGTTGTTGTGGTTGTTGTTGTTTTTGTTAATGCTGCTGTTGTTTTCTGAAGATGCTGATGCTTTTGTTGTCGAGTTCTCATAACTGTTGAAGCCTCCCTACCCCGTGGCCATTGTGTGTATCATTTGAAGGACTCTTCCCGCGGTTCGCATCTGGCCTGTCACAAGGAAGAGCTGGAGTCACCAAACCGTGATGTCGGGCCCCGAACTACAACAGCAACGGCTCCCACCTGATATTGTTTGTTGTTGGTGGTGTTGTTGGTGGTGTTGTTGCTGTTGGTGTTGTTGCTTGTTGCTTGTTGCTTGTTGCTTGTTGTTGTTGTTGTTGTTGTTGTTGTTGTTGTTGTTGTTGATTTTTCATTCTTAGAGAATCATTATTGCTGATCCTCCTCACCGGTGCACATGTTGTGTTTTTCAATTGAAATGTCCCCTCGGGGCTCGCACCCAGTTTTTTTTTATCAGGGGGAATCTTCGTGCTGAAACTGGCCCCCTGCCCCCCGAATTACAACAACAACTGCTCCTGACCGACGTGTCCTAGCAATGTATTATGACATCGAGGTCTCGCGCGGGACTTGTTCACAATTTGCGCAGGAATCGCGCACTCACGCGGGAGTTCCTGGCAATTTATTCAAACGCCGCGGCATCGACGCTCAGGAAGGCGAGCTCTCGCTTTGTTTTTTTTTTGGCGATTCATTTGGGAAAGGCGCTATCACTCGAGAGCTCCTCGCGATTCATGCGGTACTCACGCTTCAGCAATCCGCCTGCTCGACCTGGCCGCGTGGGCCCGTTTTCCCGACCCTCCTGAAAGGGTCCTCCCGCCCACTCAGCCCGTCTGGTTCTGCCATTTGCTTTCTGCTCCTAGCCCCCCTCCTGCCCATTCCGCGCTCCATCCTTTTCTCTCGCCCTTCCATCCGTCCTCTCTTCCCTTGCCCTAGGGGCTTCACCAGTTACACGCGGCAGGTGCAGGACGACATACCCCCAGAAGGGTACGATCGAAGACGAAGGGTGCGGGTACCGAGGGTTTGGGACATACGTGGCACGCGAGTAGACAGGGGCGAACCGTTTTAGAATGATTGGTTATGCTGTCGTTGTTGAACTTTCACTACTGAAGAATAATTCGTGTTGATCTTCCCTCCGGTGACCATTGTGTTTTTCCAGTTGAAGTGATTCCCCCAGGGCTTGCACCCTGTTCTTAAGCAGGGAAAGTCACTAGGCTCAAACTGGGTTGTTGGGCGCCGGATTACAACAACAACAACAACAACCGCTCCCGTTTGAGGCTTTTTTGTTTTTTTGCCAGGACCCCCGCTCCCGCTTGAGATTTCCTCGCATTTGACTTAGGAATCGCGCGCTCGCTTTGGATTTCCTTGATTATTTACTCAGGAATCGTTCTCTCGGCGCTCTGGAGTCGCGCTTTCGCTGGGGACTGGCTTGCAATTTACTAGAGAATTGCGCTCTTGCATTGGAATTCCCTGCGATTTACTCAGGCGCCGCGATCCCGACACCCAGGCACCCAGGAGTCGCGCTCACGCTGAGGACTCCCTGCGCAGCTTATTTAGGAATCGGGATTTCGCTGCCCTTCGTGGCCCCGTTGCAGCCTTTCGTGGCCCCTCGCGACCCTTCGTGGGACGGTTGCAGCCCTTCGTGGCCTCCTCGCTGCCTTTCGTGGCCCCGTTGCAGCCCTTCGTGGCCCCCTCGCTGCCCTTCGTGGCCCCGTTGCAGCCCTTCGTGGCCCCCTCGCTGCCCTTCGTGGCCCCGTCGCAGCCCTTCGTGGCCTCCTCGCTGACTTTCGTGGGCTCGTTGCAGCCCTTCGTGGCCCCCTCGCTGCCCTTCCTGGCCCCGGTGCAGTCCTTCGTGGTCCGTTCGCTGCCCTTCGGGGACCCGTTGCAGCCCTTCGTGGCCTCCTTGCTGCCCTTCGTGGGCCCGTTGCAGCCCTTCGTGGCCCCCTTGTTGCCCTTCGTGGCCCCGTTGCGCCCCTTCGTGGCGCCCTCGCTGCCCTTCGTGGGCCCGTTGCAGCCCTTCGTGGCCCCCTCGCTGCCCTTCGTGGCCCCATATATGTATGCCCTTCGTGGCCCCCGCTCAATTTTGAATGCGAGAATTTTCATTTGGGTGGTGGTTAAAGGGTGAAATCTGACATGCCATTTCGATTGGTTTTCGAGGCTTGGATCTGCACAAGGTGAACCACAAGACGGATTGATTTTCGAGGTGCGAGAGCCCATATGGATTCCACCCTGAGCCCTCCGCCTTAAAAACATGCTCAGGGAGGGGGGGGGGAAGGGGGGGAGCGGTGCCAAGGGTTCCATTTTTCTGTCCCTCCACGGCCCCCCCTCGCGCCAGTGGCGGCGCAGGCGCCGAGCGAGGGGTGCGGGCCGAGCCCGCCGCCCACGCCGTGGGCGCAGCACTCCCGTGGGGGGGGCACCGCGGCACGCCCCGGGGGCACCGCCGTCCGGGGGCTCCTCCCGAGGCCGAGCGGAGTGGAGCCGGCATTTGGCTGTGGATGCTGCTGCTGACGAGTGGGCGGTGATGGCGATAACGATTGTAGGGGCCCTTATGCAGCCTCCGAGGGGCCGCGCCGATTGATGGCTGTGGACACGAAGCGCTGCTGGCGCTGGGCGCGACCGAGCCGCACAAGGGGATGATGCTGGTGGTGCCGATGGTGCTGATCACCGGCAGATGAGCGGCGGCCGCGGGCGGTGGTGGCTGTGCTGCCGATGAGGCTGGGCGCACGCTGACGAGGACGACGAGGGCGGTGGCAGTTCTTTGTGAAGACGGTCGCGACAGTGGTGATGGTGATGGGGATGGTGATGCTGTTGCTGTTGACGCTGCTGATGGTGACGACGATGATGATGATGGTGCTGCTGTTGATGATGATGAGGATGAGGACGAGGATGCCGATGCTGATGCTGTTGATGATGAGGCTGCTGATGATGATGGTGGCGACATCGGCGTCGGCGATGATGGTGATGATGATGGTGACGGTAACGATGATGCTGATGCTGATGATAATGATGCGGGTGGTGATGATGGTGATGATGATGATTCCGATGGTCGTCATGCTGCTTCTGACGATGATGGGAATTCTACCCCGGATTGTGGTGAATAGTGCTCTACCAGTGGCGGAGGAAATGAGGTGGATGTTGACGATGGCGACGATGACGATGACGATGCTGGCGAAGTGGGTGATGAAGATGCCGATGTACGTTTTGGTGATGGTGGTGGTGATGACGACCCCGGCGATCACGTGGATGATGATAATGAGTGCGATCAGGTGGACGACGATCGTTGTCTTCCCCATACTCACCGTAATGCCTCTCCGCGGCATCACCATCACTATCCTCATGGTCCTCTTCCCCTTTCTCACCAACGTCGCCTCTACAAGCGTCCCACTCGTACTCGAGCTGCTGTTCCTTCTCCGCCGCCTCGTGATCCTCCTCCCGACTCCTCCCCCTCGCCCGTTCGAAGTCGGACCACCTTGGGTAATAGGTTTCGGCAACACGGGGTGGTTTTCGATTTGATCCGATCCGATCCGGCCTCCGTACCTTGATTTCGCTGTCGATCCGGCCCGATCCGGCGCGAATCCAGCCCCTTGTCGGCCTCTGCAGGGGCCCAGCCCGCTCCGCGATTACTTAATGATCCGACGTTGATCCGATCCGGAGCAGACCCAGGCGCCACCCGATCCGTTTCCCAGTCGACTCCGTTTCGCGATTCGGTCCAGCGCAGGCCTGCCTGTTTCCCCTTTTCTTCGAAGGGAGAAATCGCCATAAGCATAAACTTTTGGCGTTCCGTGCGGATTTCTTGGATCGGCGCCTGGGCCAGCCAGGCAACGCCTCCGGCGCCGCCCCTGGTGCGCTCCGCGCGCCAGGGGAGGGGGGTCCCAGCGCAGATCCAGGAAACCCGTGCGCAGCGCCAAAAGTTTATGTTTATGCCGTTTCCTTTTTTGTTTTTGGGTTTCACGCTTCGGTCCAGCGCAAGCCTGCCTCTTTCTCTCCTTCCGCCCGGGGAAGGCCATTGGAGAAGGCCGCCGAGAAGAGCAGGGGACGGGGCATCGTGGGCGCGGTGGTGGGCGGCACCGCGGGGCTCTTCCAGGGGACCGCCGAAGGCGCGGTCGGCTTCGTCACTCACACCGGACAGGCACGAGGGGGAATAATGAGGAGGAGGAGGAGGTGGAGGCGGAGGAGAAGAAGAATGCCCCAGCTGTCTCTTCACGCTGTGCCAGCATGCTTTTGGGGATGCATGGCTCGAGAGTGGCGTTGCCCGTCTATGTTCCCATCTTTACTTGTGTTGCGAATTGGGTTGATGTTGGCCATCGCTGCTCCTCTTTTCCTGTCTTCGCCTTGCCGCCCCTCTTACCGCTGACGTTGCATGCGTGGACACCTGAGACGTTCGTCTTCAGGGCTGTGTGAAGAAGAATGAGAAGGAGAAGGAAAAGGAGGGCGACCATCAGAGGCAACGGTAGGGGGGATAGGCCTAGGGGGGGATGCATTGACCTCATATTGCCCCTTGACCGCCAATAGAGGCCTGCTACCCCATCCGCCCCAAGAGCGCGCTGATTAATTTGCAGGAGCCTGCCGCCGATCTATCGGCGATTTATGCCAGATTCCATGTGGACGTTCCCCCCCTGAGGGGGTCCCCCCTTATCGTTGCCCTTCCGACCAGAGCGAAGCCAAGATGCATCAGCGATGCCGCGATACACTCCTCTACAGGAGGAAAGTTCAAGAATAGTCAAAACATATTCTGGTGACGACTTTTCGTGCTCATGTGACCATTTGCTGTGTTTGTGTGTGTATTGTTTATTTCCCTTTCCAAATCCCGCATGTAGGAGGACATGCCCGACCCAACAATACACCTTCCCGTCCCAAACCTCCCCGCTCAAGTCCCCCCTGCTCAATGCATGAAGCGCTCCCCTTCAAAGACCGGCGGCTCGATGGACCTGCCATCCTCAGGCGATGGCCTCGTTTTTTTGTGTTCTATAATATATATATATATATATATATATGTATATATATATGTATATATATATATATATAAGAGATGCCTCGCATCAATTTGGGCGCGCAACCAGGGCTGCGAAGAGGTATGACGATGAGATCCCTGTGGAAAAAGGACATCCCTAACCCATGTAACTATTGCATAGGTGTACATGTATGGCTCTGAACCTTGAGGATGCCTCGAGCCAGGGCCCCTCTCGAAAAGGAGCTGCTGTTCGCCCGTGCAGCTGCTGCATCTGTTGAAGCGCCTGGCCTCCAAGCGAAAGGAAACCGCACCCGAGAGCCTCGTCTTGAACCTCCATCACTGTCACAGTTGCGACACTCGAAGAAGAGTGCGCGCGACGGTGGGGCGACGAGCCCATTTTGAACAAAGCACCGCCCTCCATCCTTGTATAGGTTGCAAGCTCTTAAGACGGATCTGCGCGGCGTCGAGGCGACAGCGCCACGTTCCGAGCAGGGCCGTGCCCAGTCCTCGTAACTGCTGCAAGCCTGGACAACGAGTTTGCACGGCGCGGCTGTTTCATCTTGGAAAGTGACCACCTCCACCCTTGCAGGAAGTGCAAGGTTTCGAAACGAATGTGGTTGGCGCTGAGGCGAGCGCCCCCCTCTTTGAAAACGACTTGTGCCCCAGCCGCGTAACACTCGCGACCTTCACGCTGTCATGTCGTAAGCGATGTGGCAGCATCCGGCCTAAAGCCCGGTCAGCCCCACCGACACGCTTGCGAGTGCGACGGAGGAGCTCTCTATGAGGGAAGTGGATGCTTGAGGAGCAGGGACGGGGACAGAAAGGGGAGCAGGAGGAGGGATGAGGGAGGGGAGGTGCAGGATGATGCTGAGGAGGAGGAGGAGGAGCGAGAGGGGAGGGAGGGTGGAACATGAATGGTGGTGGGGAGGAGGAGGGTGATCAGGACGAGGAGGGAGGAGGAGAGACTGAAGAGCGAGGAGGGAGGGAGGGAATAGGAGAACTCAGGAGGGAGGGAGGAGGCAGAGAGAAGTGCGGCCACGCGCGAGGAGGCAGAGAGAAGAGGCGGGAGGAGGGAGGAGGGGCAGAGGGAAGAGGCGGGAGGAGGGCAGGGGGTGACGGAGGCGGAGGTGGACGAGGAGGAGGAAGTGATCGGAGGAGGCTGGAGGGAGGCGTGCTGGAGGGAGATGGGATGATGAGGAGGAGGGGTGATGATGATGTTGCTCATGATGGCGGTGATGATGATGCTGGTGATGATGATGGAAACGACGATGAGAAGGAGGGTTCTTATGTGGATGACTACGACGATGTTGAGGATAAGGATGAGGGCGAGGATGAGGCTGGTGATGAGGAGCAGGATGATGATGGTGATGGTGATGGTGGTGGTGATGGTGATGGTGATGGTGATGGTGATGATGATGATGATGATGATGGTGATGATGATGGTGATGATGGTGATGGTGATGATGATGATGTTGATGATGATGTTGATGATGATGATGGTGGTGGTGGTGATGATGATGATGATGCTGATGCTGATGCTGATGCTGCTGCTGATGCTGATGGTGCTGGTAATGGTGATCTGATGATAATGATGGCTTTGCTAGTGATGATGACGATGTGGCGAAGGATGGCGAGGAGAAGGAGGATGAGCAGGCCGTGGTGGGACTCGGCGTCGGCGTGGGCGGGGGCGTGATCGGCACCCTCTCGGGCCTGCGCAGCCCGGGGCTTGCAGAGTTCCAGCACATGATCCGCATCTCGCCCGCGCTGCGGGACATCGTGCGATCCGCGCAGCGCCCAGCGCAGGGCGCAGCCCGAGGCCTGCAGGCGGTGGACGACCTGTTCTACTGGAAGGACAAGTGGGTTGCGGTGGCACGGGTGGAGGGAGGAGAGGCGGAGGGATGAGAATGGATTGGGGGGGATTGTAGCTCCCCGTGTGCTTCAAGCGGCTTGAGAGCGGGGGGCACGGTGAGCCTCCGAGGGTCACGTGGGGCCGGCCACGGAGGCCGATTCAGGCCTGGGGCGACGAAGAGGGAGTATGAGGAGGAGGAGGATGAGGAGGAGGAGGAGGAGAAGGAGGAGAGGGAAGAGGGCTGAGCTGAAGAGGAGGACATGGAAGGGGAGGACGGCGGAGGAGGGAGAATGAGGAAGGGGTGGAAGAGCGGCCAAGCGGAGGGAAATTTGGAGGGAGGGGGAATGGAGGGAAGGCGAGAGGAGGAAGAGGATGATGAGGAGCAGAATGAAGAGGATGGTGAGGATGAGGATTTTCATGATGATGATGGTGATGATGATGATGATGACGATGATGCTGGTGACGATGATGATGACGACGACGATGCTGATAGTGATGATGATGACGGTGATGATGAGGATGCTGTTGGTGCTGATGATGATGGTGACGATGATGAAGATGATGATGATGCTGATGATGATGATGGTGGAAATGATGATGACGATGATGACGATGGTGGTGGTGATGAAGATGACGACAATGATGATGACGGTGCTGATGATGATGATGATGATGCTGCTCAGTATGACCGTCATCAGCATGATGATGCGGCTAATGATAGTGAGGAAGCTGATGATGATCATGGTGATGATGCTGCTGATGATGATGCTGATGACGCTGATGATGACGCTGACGGTGATGTTGATGATGGTGGTCATGGTAACGACGGCAATGATATTGATGCTGATGGGGCTGCTGTTGCTGATGCTGGTGATGATGCTGGTGATGCTGATAATGTTTATGATGATAATGATGACGGTACTGCTGTTGTTGCTGCTGCGGTTGATGTTGCTGTCGTTGTTGGTGTTGTTGGCTGTGGTTGGTGATGATGATGGTGGTGATGATGATGCTGCTGACGATGATGATGATGCTGATGACGATGATGATGATGATGATGATGATGCTGAGGATGATGATGATGATGATGATGATGATGATGATGCTGATGATGATGATGATGATGACGACGACGACGATGATGATGATGATGATGATGATGATGATGATGATGATGATGATGGTGATGATGATGATGATGATGATGATGATGATGAGGAGGAGGAGGAGAGGAGGAGGATGAGGAGGAGGAGGAGGTGGAGAGGGGGAGGCTGCTGCTGCTGCTGCTGCTGCTGCTGCTGAGGAGCAGGGAGGAGGAGGGGAGGAGGAGGGAGGGCCAGGCTGCCTTGCCGCCGGGAGCCCCCTGGCCTGCCGCTCTCCTTGAATACCGAGCCTCCTCATCCTCCGCCTCCCACTCCTACCCCTCCTCTCCTCTCCTCCTCCTCCTCCTCCTCCTCCTCCTCCTCCTCCTCCTCCTCCTCCTCCTCTTCCTACTCTTCCTCCTCTTCTTCCTCCTCCTCCTGCTCCTCCTCCTGTTCCTCCTGCCCCTCCCCCCCTCATCCTCCTCCTCCTCCTCCTCCTCCTCTCCTCCTCCTCCTCCTCCTCCTCTCCTCCTCCTCTCCTCTCATCTCCTCCCTGGGCTGGCATGCTCCTGTTCTCCCCCTCGTCCAGCTCCTCCCTGCTGGCCAGCCTCCCCTCCTGCTCCTCCTCGTCCTTCTTCACGTCATTATCCTCCCGCTCCTCTCCTCTTTGGGCTGGTCTGGCTCCTTCTCCTCCCTTCCGCCCACGCCTTCTACCACACCCGCTTCCTCCTTCGCCTCCTGCTCCTCCTCCTGTTCCTCCTGCCCCTCCTCCTCCTCCTCCTCCCTCCTCCTCCTCCTCTCCTCCTCCTCCTCCCGCTCCTCCTCCTCCTCCTCCTCCTCCTCCTCCTCCTCTCCTCCTCCTCCACCTCCTCCTCCTCCTCCTCCTCCTCCTCCTCCTTCTCCTCCTCCCTCCTCCTCCTCCTCCTCCTCCTCCTCCTCCTCCTCCTCCTCCTCCTCTCCTCCTCCTCCTCCTCCTCCTCCTCCTCCTTCTCCTCCTCCTCCTCCTCCTTAGTCTCCTCCCTGGGCTGGCCTGCTTCTGTTCTCCCCCTCGTCCAGCTCCTCCCTGCTGGCCAGCCTCCCCTCCTGCTTCTCCCCGTCCTTCTCCACGTCATTCTCCTCCCGCTCCTCTCCTCTTTGGGCTGGTCTGGCTCCTTCCCCTCCCTTCCGCCCACGCCTTCTACCACACCCGCTTCCTCCTTCGCCTCCTTATCCTCTCGGCCTCCCCGCGTCCCCCGCCTCCCCCTCGCCCCCCGCTCCTCCTTGAGCTGGCCTCCCTTCTTTTGTGGTGCTCCGGCAGGACGCCAAACTGACTGGCAAGTTGGTGGGGATCGCCGGCATCCTGCTGCTGCTCTCGGTGATCCTTAGCGGATACATGGGAGTCGTCTCAGGATACTTATGGCTCGCGTTTGGCTGTCAGCGTCTGTTGATCTCGTGAGCGGCGATCACGGATCGCAGTGGCCGCCGTGGTCACACTGGGCGGCCTGCGATCTGCACGTGGTCCTCGTGATCTGAGCGTGGTGATCAAAAGTGGTCATTGTGAGCGGCCTGTGATCACACTGAGTGTGGTGATCGAAAGTGTGATCGGAGGCTTGATTTGATCACGTGATCTGGTTGGGTGATCGGGGGCGTGATCGGCCATACACTAAGGCTGGGCTCTCTGATCCTGATGGCGCAGGCCTCGTTTTTCAGCACTGCCGTGGCTTTCGCCTTGGCCGTGGTGGCAGTGGCCACCAAGCCCAAGGCGGCGGCGCCGTTCTCACGCTACGACTTCTTCGACGGGGAGGCAGCGAAGTCCCCCCCCGCGGAGGCGCCGCTGCGTTGACGGGCGGCATGAGTAGATTTTAATCGTCGACGTCTTGGAGTTCGAGGCCGCTCAGCCTTGGAGTCGCCGTGGAGGAAGCGGGCCCGGCGGGCAACGGGTCCTGGATCCCGGGGCCTTCCCCCGGACCAGCCCTTCGTCCCGTGCCCCGGGCGGGCGGCAGCGGGGGGTGCCCTACACGGGGGGTGAGGACAAGCGCCCCTTCAGGGCCCTTCTCTTCACCCCCCATTTCAGGGCTCGTTTCGATTCCTCCGATTCGAGTCGATTCGACTTCGATGGCTTCCGATTCCGACTCGACTCGACTCGGGAGTCCGTTCGGGGGTCCGATTTCTCACCGGAGGCAAACTAGCTTGCCGAGATGTCCGCTGGTTCGACTTCTCCCGACTCGGCTGCCGGTTCCCGCCGATCCGATCCGTGTCGTTCGCCGATCCGGCCTGTCGCTTCGGGCCTGGGCCCTCCTGCCACTTGGGCCACCCCCGCTGCCACCCGCCCGAGCCGTGCTCCTGGAGCGCCCCGGGGGCCCGACGGCGGCGAAGCACTGCCAGGATCCCCCCTCCCTCCTCCAGGGTCTCCGCATCCCTCTGTTTAACAGCCTGGAGCGTATCCCTATCCCTATGCTGGGCACCTCCTCATCACGATGCCAATCTTAGGGGTTCCCTTATTTTTTGAGGGTGAATCCCCTAAGATTGTCATCGCCTTTTGGATGTCAATCTTAGGGATAGGGATACGTTCGAGGCTGGTAACCTGTGCTGACTGCGGCCTCGAGCAGCAGCGCGACCCAGGAGGGGCAGCAGGGCGCGGCGGGCGCAGGAGGCGGGCGCGGGTGCGCGCTGCGCCGACGCGGCGGAGATCCCGGCGCTGTCACTCGAGGTCAGACGCCGCCAGTGGCCCAGAAGCGGCCGACGCCGGGGGATCTGCGCCCATCGCATCGCCGCGACCACCTGAGGCCCAACGATCCACGCGGCGACAGACACCATCGCCAGCGTCGTCTCGACGCGGACCCGGCGCACACCCTTCGGGCCCTCGCGGCGCTCCCGCCCTGGGCCCCTCCTGCTCCAGGCGCGCCTCCTCGCGCGCGCCCCTGCCGCATTGGGCAGGCGCGCGCGCGGGCCTGCTTTTGCTGTCGGCGGGCGCGGGGGGACTTCGAGCCGTCGGGCGGAGCAGGGCGCGGAGCCGCGAGCCGCGCCCTCTCTCGGAGAGAGGGGGGGGGCAGGCGAGAGCGGGCGCGACAGGCCTCGGAACAGGAATAGCGAGCACTCCTGCCAGATGCATCTGTGAAGGCCTCCCCCTCCCCCCAAGGTTCAAAGGTGGCGGTGGGTCTGATGAGCTGCGCCTCGACCGCAGTCTCCCCCGCGCGTGCCAACTTTGAGTTTGGGGGGCAGGGGGGGTGTTCACTAATTGTTTCCCTCTACCGGAAGACCGACCGCAGTTCCTGCCCGTGCTGAACAGAGTCCGATGTCGGTGCCGCCATGGGGGCGTGGGCTGTTCGGGAGGAGCGTCGCCTTGCCCAACGCAGCGGCCGATGCCGTTTTTGGGCAGCTCTTCCTGTTGGGGTTCGTCCTCCTTCTCTCCGTTGCAGCATGGCAGAGGCAATCCGCACGGGCGCCCGCAGTGGTCGGGGACGCTCGACTAACTAATCGACCCAGTGCGCGAGCGCGGGCGCGGCGGGGCAGGGTGACCGCGGAGAGAGCGGAGAGGGGGGGGGGAGAGCGCTCAGTGGCGAAAGAATTTCACGGCGAGCGCGCCGGTGCGGCCAGCCAGGGCTGTCGTGCCAGGGCAGTGGACGCGGGGCGGCGCCACGATCACCTGCGAGGACCTTAGCCAAGGCTGCAGGCGCTGAGAGCGTCGGAGGCAAGGTGCTACCAGCACGCTCCAAGAAGCTGCCGCGCATTAACTGTATCCAGTTGTTCGTCACGGGCCCCTGTGCCAGGCTTGCGGCGCCTTCGTGTGCTGGATGCTGGGCCAGGACCTGGTCCCAGCGGCAGCGCGCGGAGACCGCGCGGGACTGCGCCAAGGCGCGCGCGGAGGTGGAGGCTGCCACGTGCAAGATGCTGTCATCCGGTGCACTACCACAACGCCGACGCCAGCCAGAGCTGCATCAGCCGGGGCAGGGTGCGCCGGCCAGGTCCAGGAGGCGGCGGCAATGCGGGGGGCGCCATTGCGGCGCGGCCTCCTCCTCCTCCTCCTCCTCCTCCTCCTCCTCCTCCTCCTCCTCCTCCTCCTCCTCCTCCTCCTCCTCCTCCCCCTCCCCGGGAGGGTTGGGGGGCAGGAAGGCCGGCTGAGGACGAGGGGGAGGGAAGAGGAGCGCCCCGGCCGACCGGTGCACGCAGCACAGTCGGGCGGGGCGGGCAGCAGGCCCTGCCGCAGGGGGCGGCGGGGCGGTGTGGCCGAGGCCCGGCCGGCAGGGGCGGCAGGCCCAGCGGAGGTGGGTCCCACGCGGATCACCTCGGGACCTCGCCGCCCCTTGGGGTGCTCGCGATCTGTGCAACTGTCGCCATTTTCGTGGGCTCCTGGGAGGCCCAGCGGAGGTGGGTCCTACGCGGATCACTCGGAGGTACGTCGTACGCGTTTCTTTCAACGCCCCTGTGCTTCCATTTTGTATAGTTGCCGTTCTTCTTCTTGCCGCGCTCTTCGGAAATACTGCGGGTCCTGCAGAATGCCAGTCAGCATTGAGTTGTTCTGAGTATCATCGCCACATGTATAGAAACGGTTGGGTACGTCACAGGGTAATTGGTTTTTGGTGAATTTTGGGGTTCTCGTCTTTTGGGCTTTCCGACGCTCCAAGACGGCGGTCTTTTGGGCGTCCGAAGCTGCCTGGGAGGCTCCAAAATTCGCCCTACAACCATCCGAAAGGGCTTCCAGGCAGTCCAAAAGAGCCCCAAAACGGTACCATCCGGGTCCAAGATGGCCCTCAGAGAGCCCCATGGCGGCCCAAGATAGCCAAATCGTGGCCCGGTCGTTCAGGGAGACCGCGGTTGGAGGCAGGGTAGCCCGAGGAAGCCCCTAGAGCCTCCACAAAAAAGAGCTGAGGAGGATGGGGAGAATGCGCAGGCTATGGCCAGCATGAGGGAAAAGAAGCGTGGAGGAAGGATAACGAATAACATGATTTTAGCGGCGATGCCGGAAAAGGCAATAAGGAGTTATCGCTAAATTGGCGGCTTGGCCTTCTTGCTATTCCACCTGCATGCCAATTTTCAAGGACCAAGGTGCATGGCGCGAAGCGCCACTGCAGTCATGTATACACATATATATACATATGTATATATACACACCTCCAAAGGGGGTATGACCGAGAGTTTAGGAGGTACGTGTTGAAAGGCCCGCGCGCAGATAAGAGCGAACAGTCTCAAAATGATTGTTGTGATTGTTGTCGTCGTCGTCGTCGTTGAACGCTCATTCCTGAAGTAGAATTATTGTTGATCCCCCCTCCGGTAACAGATGTGTTTTCAATCGAAGTGCCCCTCCTGGCGCTCGCGCCCCGACCCCCTATCAGGGAAGGTCTTCCTCCTCAAACTGCGCTGTTGGCCCCGGGCTGCAGCAACGACGGCTCCCGCCTGATACTTCCTCGCAATGGATTGGGGAATCGAGCTCTCGCGCGGGACTTCCCCACAGTTTATGCAGGAAGCGCGCTCTCGCGTGGGACTTCCTCGCGCTTGATTGAGACGCCGAGCCTTCGGCGCTAAGGAGTCGTTGGGCTGAATCGCGATTTCTCTTGGGAGTCGCGCTATCGATCGAGGCGTCCTCGCGATCCATGCAGGTCCCACGCTGCAGCAACCCGCCTACTCGACCTGGTCGCCTGGGCCCGCCTTCCCGACATGCCCGTTATGGGTCTGCCTCATCGATCTGCCTAACTGGTTCTACCACTTGTTTTCTGCTCCTTGCCCCCCTCCTGCTAAGTTCTTTTGTGCTCCATCCTTCTCCCTCCCCATTCCACCCGTCCTCTCTTCCCCTGTTTCAGGGTCGTCGCTAAGTGCACGTGGCAGGTAAGGAAGATATACCCCCAAGGGGGTACGATCGAAGACGACGAGGGCGGGCACCGAGGGCTTGGAATGTACGTATTGATTGGCACGCGAGCAGATAGGAGCGAACAGTCGTAACATGACTGTTGTTGATGTTGTTGCTGGATTTTCATGTATGAAGTATCATGGTTGTTGATCCCCCATCCGCTAACTATTGCGTTTTTTATTGAAATGCCCTTCCCAGGGCTCGCACCTGGTTGTTTATGCGGGAAAGTCTTGCGTCTCAGAATTCCTTTGTTGTTCCTGGTTTGCAGCAACAGTGGCTCCCACCTGATTCCCCACAAGTTATTGCTCAATCTCGCTCTCGCGCGGGACTTTGTGACACTTTATGTAGGAATCGCGCTCTCGCTATGGATTTCATCACAGTTTATGCAGACGCTGCGCCCTCGGCGCTCAGGAATCACCTTCTCGCTTTGGTTTTTCGCACGGTGTAATTTAGAATCGCGATATCGCTCGAGAATTCCTCGCGATTCATGCAGGTCCCACGCTTCAGCGACCCGCCTGCTCGACCTGGTCGCTTGGGCCCGCCTTCAGACCCGCCCGCTATGGATCTGCCCACCCGATCTGCCTGGCTGGTTATACCATTTGTGTTGTGCTCCTTGCCTTCGTCCTGCAATTCTCTCTCGCGTTCCATCCCTCTCCCTCCCCCTTTCCACCCGTCCTTTCTTCCCTTGTTTCAGAGACTGCACTACGTGCGCGTGCCATGCAAGAATGGTATACGCCCAAGGGGGCACGATCAAAGACGAAGAGGGCGGGCACCGAGGATTTGGGATATAGGTACTGGATGGCACGTTAGCAAATAAGAGCGAACAGTTGTTACATTCTTGCTGTGATTGTTGCTGTTGATGGTGATGGTGTTGTTGGTGTCGAGTTCTCACAACAGAAGAATAGTTATTGTAGATCGCCCCTCCGGTAACATTTGTTTTTTTCTATTGAAGTGCCGCTCCTGGGGCTCGAACTTTTTGTTTTCTTATCAGACAAAGGTTTCCTCATCAAAATACGTTGTTGGCCCCCAGGCGATAACAACAACGGCTCCCGCTTGATAGTTCCTTTCAATTTACTGGGGAATCGCGCTGTCGCCAGGGTCTTCCTTGCAATTTATCCAAGAATCGCGCTCTCGCGTGAGACTTCCTCAAAATTCATTCAGGCGCAACGTCCTCGCCAGCCAGGAATCGCGCTCTCGCCTGGGACTTCCTAATCAATTACTTAGGAATCGCGCTCTAGCCCTTGACTTCTTGGCGAATTATGCAGGACTCACGGATTCGCGTAACATATGTGCTTTTTCATTTGACGTGCCCCTGCCGGGGCTCGCTGTATTTTTATTGGCTTCCTGCTCAAACTGTGCCCCTGGCCCCCGGTTTACATCAACACCGGCTCCCGCCTGACAATTTATTCCCAACTCGAGCTTTCGCGACGGACTTCCGCATAATTTAATGCAGGAGTCATGCTTTCGAGTGGGACATCCTTGCACTTTATTCAGACGCCACGCCGTCGTCACTCAGGAATCACGCTCTCTCTGTGGATTTCCTCAAGATTTATCGGGAAATCGCGCTATCTCTTGAGACTTCCCCGCGATTTATGCAGGACGCACGCTTCAGCAGCCCGCATGCTCGACTTGGCCGCCTGGGCCCGCCTTCCCGATCCGCCCGCTAGAGTCTGCCCGCCTGGTATGCCTTTCTGGTTCCGCCACGTGTTTTCTGCTCCTGGCCCCCTGCTCCATCCTTCTCCCTCCCCCTTCCATCCGTCCTCTCTTCTATAGTTTTCGGGGCGCACGTGGCAGGCAAGGAACATATACCCCCAAGATGGGCGCATGGTCTCTTGTGCTCACTGCAGGGCCGTCATGGCGCCAGCGGCGCCGCTCTTTGACTCTGCTTTTTGAGCCATTTGGCGCATCCAGGGGCACCGCAGAACTATTATGGGGCTATCCCGGGGTATCCCCAGAACAAAAAGCAATACGTTTCATTATGGCAACCTCCTGTATCCGTTGTGCGCTCCTGGTGTAGAGCCTCAGCGCGCGAAGCGCGCGCGTGCTTCTACTTGCATGGGACGACCTTCACGCCGACGTGGTCCCGGGCGCTTGAGCAGTGCTGCAAACATTGGAGTGCGTGGTAGACAGGGCTCTCCAAGCACTTGTGGTGCAAGGAGCTCGCTGGATCGCAGAGGTGGGACAGGGGTGGTGCTGCTGTGTGACAGGCGAGCTCATTAACGCTTCGCCGCGCTCTCTGTCGGTCTCGGCCCTTCAAGCGGAGTGCTGATCGTCTGCGGGACGCTTGAACTGAACCGCAGCGTGCGCCCGAGTCTCCGGCCCTCGTGCTTCATGTCAGGCTGACGGTTCCATTCCGTGCGGTGTTATTTGGCGGTGTGCTTGAAGACAGCACAGCTCCCAGCTCGTCACTCGCGCTGGAGGCGCATGTCTGCGGGTGAGAACAGGCTGCGGCTGCTGCGGGGTTCTCTTTTGATTCCCAAGCATCCTGTGGTGTTGGGTCCTCGCTTTGAAGCCGCGTCCTCACTCACTCCTCCCACCTCCGCCTCCCTCCTCCCGTCCCTGCCTCTGCCCTCCGCACGACCAGTTCGGCACACCCCTTACCCGTTCTGTGGCCCCATCGGGAGCCCCACCTAAGGCCCCAATGGCCGTCCTCGCATGCGGTTCCGCACTCATATTGGCACACCCTCACACGTTCCGTGGCCCCATAGGGAGCTCCACATGAGGCCCCTGCTTCCCGTCCTCGCACGTGGTTCCCCGCCCATTCAGGAACACCCTGCACGTTTCGTGGCCCAGAAGGTGCCCCATCTCAGGTCCCAGTGGCCGTCCTCGCATGCGTGCGTTTCCGTGATTACTTCGGCACAGTTTTGACGCGGCTTGTGGCCCCGCAGGGAGCCTGAAGACAGTAGCCGTCCTCGCATAGTACGTGATGACGTAATCCGCCGCAGTAGCTGATGTGCCCAATGGCATATAGTAGGTCGGTTCTCGATTACCTCAGCGCAGCGTTTGGCCACCATGTTGTGGCGACCCAGCAGACCAGTGGCACACCGAATCAAGTACAGTGGAGGCCCGTGCCAAGAAACACCCTGCTTGCCTCCACGGTGCCCTGGGTTTCTTGGGTGTCGACGGTTTTGCCATGGAAAGTGTGACGTTCCCACACCAAAAACCAACGGACGTCCTGGGGTCTCAGGGTTTGGTTTCTTGTGGAAGGTTTCTTGTAGTCGGGCCCCTACTGTGCGGTCACGCAGCAAATGGGGCAGCAAAGGCTTAGGCCCCATCCGCTGCCGAAAACGATGCCGCCTCGGCCACTTGCATCCAGGTGCAGGGCCACACTGCACGATGTGCTGGTGCCGATCGCATGGATGGCTACAATTGTTGACGCTTCGCGTATCCCCACCAGCCCATCCAGAAACGATGCTCAGGGGAGTTGAGGTGATCAGGGAAGTCGGGGAGCATGCAGAATAACAAAGGGCGGGGGAAGCTGTCACAGACCCCGAGAGGGGGAGGATGGAAGAGGAGTCGTCGTCGTCGTCGTCGTCGTCGTCGGAGGAGGAGGAGGAGGAGGGGGAAGAGGAGGAGGAGGAGGAGGAGGAGGAGGACGGAGAAGGAGGAAGAATCGGAGGAGGAGGAGGAGGAGGGGAAGGAGCTTCTTGGGGGTCTTTTGAGGGCCTCTTGGAGGGCTTTTTGGGCGCCTTGGGGCATCTTGGGCGCCTCTTGGGACCCTCTTGAGGCGCTCTGGGGAGCCTTCGGGGCGCTTTTGGGGCCATCTTGGAGGGAGTCGATCAAACAAGAGGGGGGGTTTAATTAGCGCCCCCCCTCGGAAGCCCCTAAAATCGCCTCTTGGACCCCTCTTGGAACGCTCTTGGAGTGCTCTTGGGCGCTCTTGGGGCCGTCTTGGGGCTCTTTTGGGGCTCTCTTGGGGCCCTCTTGGGCCATCTTGGAGCCATCTCCAGGCCTCGGATGGCCATCGGAAGCGAAAAGGCGAGAAAGCAAAAATCATTGATTTTCCTTAGGTTTTGGGACGATTTTGGCCTCTTCGGGGCCTCCTTGGGGAGCTGTTTGGCCACTTGGAGTTATCTTGGGGCCGTCTTTGGGCTTCTTGGAACCATCTTAGGAGCCATCGTGAGCGATCTTGCGCTATCTTGAGCCATCTTGGAGCTCATCTTGGGTTCTCTGAGGCGCTCTTGGAGCCGTCTTGGGCCATCTTGGACGCTCTAACTACCCGCGGCCCCCCCCGTCCAGGTCCAGGGGAGGGGGTAGGGGGAGGGGTAAACCCCTCCCCAAGGGGGAAGAGGGAGGGGTGGAAGAGGATCTGTTCTAGACCACCTACGCCCAGAGGGCTGGTGGGATTTGCACGGGGGTGCCCGCTGCGGCCCGTGGTGGTGCCAAGTTCTCAGCACGCGGCGTGTTTTGAAGGAGTGCCATTGTGCGCTCCTTGCAGAGGGTTCGTGGTGTGGAGTGAGCGTGACAAGGCCCGGAGATTTGACGGCGGAGTTGTCGCCATTAGAACGCAATATCGAGGAGTGTCCTTCTCCTCCTCGGCCTCCTCCTCATCCTCATCCTCCCCATCTTCCGACTCCTTCTCCTTCCGCTGTCCTTGGTTGTCCACCCAGCGGTCTTTGCAGAAGCAGTGCCCGAGAGCCTCCCCTTTCCTGCCACCTTTTTGCGAAGACACTTTCCTCGCTGGTTTGCTTACTCCTCCAGTCCCTGAGATCCGAAGCCGCGAACAAAATTGCAACATGGTGAGAGATCACCACAGGAGCCCTCGACCGCATTTTTGCTGCGTAATCGAAGTCGGATCGACCCATGGCAACCCGTGAGGATCCCAGGGCCCGAAGCCAAGGCAAAGTTCCTGGTGTGCGAATTTGCGATGCCCAGATCTCCGGTCACCCCGCTTGCCAGTCACCCGACGGCCCCGGCAGGACTTTCGCCGCGTCCTTCTACACGGACGGGGCGGCAGCTTGACGCGCCGAAGAGTGGCGGGGGCTTTTTTGGGGGCGGCGGGGAGGTGGACGCGAGCGTCACAGTTGGTGCGTTGAGGCAAGAGCGCGTCTTGCTTCTGCAAGGAGTTCTGTGCCCCTTCTATTTGTCCGTGCCCCCGATGATGATGGTCCGCGCCCTCCGGCCATGGCGTGGCAGGCTGCCGCACCAGTTTTGCAGCGCGTCCCTCGTTGGCTTGTTGGGCCCATTTTGTCGGACGGGCCATCGAATTTCATTGGCTCTTGTTGACTTCCTTGTTCGGGCCACTCGGTTGCGCTCTTGCCGCGCGAACTTGAGCTCACCAGATTCGCGCAGTGCTTCGGGGGATCTTCAAAACGTTCGCGCTGTGAACCATCTCGCGCGATGTGCGCCGCGGCAGCATCCATTGCCAGCCATGATTATCCAATAAACTGATCGTCAAGGGCTTGCTTGGTCGCTGATGTGATGCGATGCAACAGAGGCTGCGCGTCTGGCACCAGCAGCAGGTAGCCTCATCCCAGGATGGTCATACTGGAGGGGCTTCGTTCCTTGCGCGTGGCCGTACGACTCACGAAGACCACGGCCATGAAACTCTAGACCACCCTCGTGAAGGGCAACTCCGCGAGGACCAGCTGCAGGACGAGAGCCCAGAGGATCAACCCCAGGTTTTCCCAGCCGCGTGGTGGTGGCCAGGCGTGCAGTGCTCACCATGCCCGTCGCCTCCACGTCGCATCACGTCGCTGCGCACTCGAATATGACGGGCTCGTCGCTGCGTGGCCGACTTCAAGCACGCCCGCATCGTGCCGTTTGGGGCCCCAGGGGCGGCCCGTGGGGGCTCCATCGGGTGACCTCGGGGCCTCGCGACGATTTCTCGGGGGCCCCTCTCGGAAGGGGGGGGGGGCTCTCTGCGATCTCCTTGGGGGCCTCTCGGCGATCCAAGGGGGTGATCTCGAGGCCTCTCTTCGGGGCCTCTCGGAGTCACCTCGGGGCCTTGAGTTGTCCACGTTTTTGTTGAGCTCCGAGTTCTGAAGAACAGAGGGGCCCTGGCGAAGGACCCAGCCATCTGCACTTGTGAGTAGCGCAGGTGTGAGTATCGTCCTCGGTGGAGCTCCCTACGGGGCCACGAAACGCGTGAGGGGTGTGCGGACATGGGCATGCGGTGTGCAGGGAGCCGCACGTGAGCCCTGCCACTCGGGCTCTCGGCGGGCCCATTGTGGTCACAACCTGGGTCTGATAAGTGAGTCTTACACCGTTACACAATTACACCATTGCACCATTACACCATTCTGTAGAAGGGTGCGCCGCCGCACCACTACATCATTACACTATCATCAGAATGGTGCGCGCGCACACCACTACACCATTACACCACTACACCACTACACCCTCATACCATTTTGAAAAAGGCGTCATGCTTATACCATTACACCATTACACCGTACTGGGGAATAATGTAAGACTTACACCCGCCATAGTACACTTGTAGTGGACGTGGTCGTCGCCGATTGCCTTCGTTGTCGTCGACGACGCGACGAATGTGTTCTCGATTGATCTCCTCCCTTTTCAGAGGCTCCCCTTGGAGCCCTCCTTCGGCCGCCTCCATTATTTCTCGGGGGTCCTCTAATGCGTTTCCCAAAGCCCTGTTGGATGTCCTCTTCGGCCGTTCTGGGCCCTCTCCGGTAATCAGTGCAGCGGTGCAGGGGTGTAATGGTGCAGCGATGGTGTGGCGTAGCAGCGCAAGGGTGTAATGGTGTAATGATCGCCAAACGCGTTCCCGACCCCCCCCCCTAAGGGTCCTTAGGGGGTGGGTCCAGAGGGCCCTCTTGGAGCCCCCTGCGGCCGCCCCCAGGCTTTCCCAGGGGTCCCCACATGCGTTCCCGAAAGCCCCTTCCGAAGCATGCTTAAAAGGGGGGGGTTCCAAAGGGCCCTCTGGGAGCCCTCTTCGGCTGCCTCCAGGCCCTCTCGCTCGTGGTCTACTGTCGTCCCCCCCTCGTCCCTCCTTCCTCTCCCTCGTCCCTCCTTCCTCTCGTCCCCCCCTCGTCCCTCCTTCCTCTCCCTCGTCCCCCCCTCGTCCCTCCTTCCTCTCCCTCGTCGTCGTCGCCGCCGCCGCCGCTGCCGCCGCCGTTGCCGGTGGGGCAGGGGGGCGCCAGCTGCACACCTCGCACAGATCCTGGACAGGCCCGTCCTCGGCCCAGGATCCTCCTCCTCCTCCTCCTCCTCCTCCTCCTCCTCCTCCTCCTCCTCCTCCTCCTCCTCCTCCTCCTCCTCTTCCTCTTCCTCCACTATTACACAATACACGCCGGTCGTTGAAAGTAGGTCTTTTTGGATTCCCAGATCCCAATCTACCTCAAGCGCCTTCCTACTTCAAGAATCGGCATGCTTTTGCTGTGTTCTGTTATTCTCTGGGAGGACCTGGACCCAATCTACTATATCCGCCTTCCTACTTCATGTTTCTACCTACTTTTTCCGACCCATGTGTACGGGTACTACTCTCCCCTGTCCCTT